GAACTTAATATAGAGAAATAGTGTTGTTACTTGTGGATGGAAAGATATTTATTCAACACAATGTAAGAAAAATGCTAACCCAGGAAAAGATTGATACATGGAACTTCAGCAAAATTAATAGTTTTTAATTATCAAAAGACATTAAGATTAAAAAGACAAACCTCAAAATGAGGGAATGCATTTGTAATGCACAGAACTTACCAAGGACTTGTGGTCAGAATACTTAAAGAACCACTGATCAATAATGAAAAGACAAAAGACTTTAACAAGCAGACAAGGCTGGCTGGGCAGTCGATGAGCTCCAGGATCTATCTGCCTGCCTCTGCTTCCCCAGCACTGGGATTGTGAGTAGGCCACCTTGTCATGTCTTTAAAAGTGGGTTCTGGGGCTCAAAATGAGGTCTTCATGCTTGCAAGACAAGCACTTGCTATTTGAGGCATCTCCCCAGCCTTCACCCAAATGAGAGGCCACAAAAGGAGACTCAAGATGAATTTTGAAGAATTATCAATATTTAGGGATGTGCTGGATAGTTTTTTGTTAACCAGACACAAGCTAGAGTCATTTTGGAAGAGGGAACTTCAATTGGGAAAATGTTTTCACTAGATTGGCCCACGAGCACCCAGCCCACAATGGATGGTGCCATCCCTGAGCTGGTGGTCCTGGATACTGAGTAAGCCATGGGGAGCAGTACAGTGAGCAGCATTCACAACAGTGCTGCATTGCACAGGCAATGACTTAAATTGCATCTTTGGATTGGCTGGTAAGGTAAACAGATGATCTTTGAGAAAGCCATTTTGGTTCAGAAGTGGTACTAGAGGCCAGGAAGATTATGGAAAGTTGGGAGGAGGTCAATGTCTAGGAAGAAGGGATAGAAACAATTATCTCTGCTCCTCACCATGTTCAAAGCTTGTATGGCTTCAGTTTGGACTTCTCCATTAGTTAGTTTCCCTTGTTACTAAAATGAGTTTGAGCTAGTAATCTACTATTAAACTAAATTGTTTTGAGTCATGTCTCATGTAGCCCAGGTTAGTAGCTAAGGATAACTTTGAATTCCTTATCCTCCTGCCTCTGTCTCCCTAGTGTTGGGATTACAGGCATGCACTACCACATACAGTGTATGCAGTGCTAAGGATTGAATCTGGGGCCTTGTGGAGGTTTGAATGAAAATGGCCCCCATAGGCTTATAGGGAATAGCATTATTTGAAAGGATTAGAACACGTGACCTTGTTCTAATAGGCATGTCCTTGTTGGCAAAAATGTGTCACTAGGGGTGGGCTTTGAGGTTTCAGAAGCTCAAGCCAGGTCCAGTGTCTCTTCACAGCAATAAAATACCAAGACAGGCCTTGGGTATGCCAAGAAAGCTCTCTACCAACAGAGCTGCATCCTTGGAGCCTCTTGTTCTTCCATTTTTACAGCATCATTTCAAGCTGTAGATACCGAGAACTGTCCACATCACAGGTGAACTGTCAAGCCCTGACAACTGTTTCCCGAAGCCACCAGGGCCTGCGCTGATGCAATGTTCATAACAGATTTAAGTGCAGCCCTCCCTTAATTAAATTGTGTGAGTAGCAAAATTGTTGTAACAGGGTGAACACCAGCTTTTGAGTCCCTTACAATGTTTTTTCTGAGATATAATTTTGTGCAGCATGTGACTTGGATTATTTAGTTGTTTTCCTCAAATGAAATTATTTTAGAAGCAAAATGTCATTGTCGTTGACAAAAGGATAATATCTTTGATCTTTTTTAAGGGAAAAAGTTTCCATCTTCATACTGTAACTGGGAGGTCAGGGAGGATATGTTCCCACACACACTGCTTGTACTAGACTTTCTTACTTGTGTTTGGATCAAGTCCCAGTTGGCATCAGACAGAACAACAAGCCCCCCTTTCTCCTTTGTGAGCTATCAAGCAAGATCAATTTGTGAGTTGTAAATACCCAAACTCTCTCTAAAAGATTCCCCTGAAGTTGCCCTGGGGCCAAGGAATGAGGAATTGCTTAGAATTCCTCCTAGGTTGAAATCTAACTTTCAAAAGGGGCAGGAAGCAGCCTGGCCACCATAAATCACCAGGAAGCAAGTGTTCAGAGGAGGCCAGCCTTGATATTAATAGAGGCCAGGTTTTGTTCTTGCAGCAGGAAAGACCTTTCAGTGTACTGGGCACAGACAGCCTTCAAATCCTGAGACTCAAGACTCGTTCTTGTTTTATGAACTTGAGCACGTTGCTTCCTCTAATTGGGAGCTGGTTGCATTCAAACAGCCCAATTATGTGCAGCGTTTGTAAGCTCCACACATGTAAGGCCACCCAGTCTACTTTTTGTTTATATGTCAAGGCCTTTGGCTGATTCAGCTTTCATTCAATGGAAATAAAAATGTAGCATGTCAAAGAGCCAGTGTTTGGACCCTGCATTAAAAGGTCCTTTCTTAGTTGTCTCCTCCTCCTCCTCCTCCTCCTCCTCCTCCTCCTCCTCCTCCTCCTCCTCCTCCTCTCATCTCCTTCCTCCTCCTCTTTTCTGGTTTTCTTTGAGAAAGGATTTCACTGTGTAGTGCACATTGACTTCATACTCATGACCTTCCTGCTTCGGCCTCCCAAGTGCTGGAGTTATAGGTGTGCACCACACCTGGCTCTGCAGATGTTTTCTTAGTCTCGTATCACTCATTAACCCAGGAAAGGGCAAAGACTTGACCTGAATCTCTCTCTGTGGCTTCCAGTGTTGGCACTGACAGATGAGAGATTCTCTGTGGATTGGTTTCCTCAGCCTTTACCAATAGGTTCTGTCTGGAATTTAGCTGATGTCCAGGCTGCTGTGACTATGTAATTTGTTGACCTAAAAAAACAATTGTGTTTATCATAACACCAGATTCAGTGGGTCCAATACCCACATTGGTTTCAGCTGGTTGACTCTTTTAGCTTCTCGGGGCCATAATGGATGTCACTCAGGTATACAGCTGGAAGATGAGCTGGGCTGAAGGGCTCAGGACAACTTCACTCATCCTCAGAGCCAGGGATGAAGTCATCTGTCAACCAGAGTGCCTGGCTATTGCATGACCCTTGTGATGGTATCTCCAGCTGTTAGCCTCCAGTGTCTAGCCTGTGATGTGGCTTCTTACAGGTGAACTTCCCAAAGGAACTGGATAGTTCTGCCTGTATTCACTAATCTTGTGGTTTCATTTCGAGACCATTCTGTTTAATTGCTTTGTAGCAGTCACTCACTTCAGAAGGTACATACATATTTGATGACTGGGGCTATAGCTCCACTGGTTGAGTGCTGGCATAACACACGAAAAGCTCTAGACTGGATCCCTACACTGCATAAGCCAGGTATAGTTTGTACACCTGTAATCCTAGCACTCAGCAGGTAGAGGCAGGAAGATCAAAAGTTCAAGTTCATTTTCAATTACTCAGTGAGTTTGAGGTCAGTGTGAGCTACAGGAGACTCTGTCTCAAAATAAGTAAATAAATAGATAAATAAACAAAATTATGCTGAGAGTATATAAGCTTATTTTTACACATGTATGATCTGTGTCATTATATTTATATAAAGTTCATGAAATGAAAAAAGTCATAAAAATTGGAAATGGGTAAGTGGTTTCCAGGAATTTCCAGGGTTTAAGGATGGAGACTGAATGTGTGAGACCACAGAACAACAGGAGGGATCCCAACCTTGACTCACATGGTCTTCATCTTGACTGCCAATGTCTAAGACCTATTTGTGAATTTGTGCTGTGGTTTTGCAAGAGGGCATCGTTGAGGGGAATTTGGTACAGAATACACAGGACCCCTCCCTGTGTGACTTGTTACAACTGTATCTAAAACAAACAAGAAAAGACCACCAATCATAAACAGTTTGTCAAATATTTGGATATGCTATAATGGAAGTGGCTAAGCATGTCATCTGAGATTTCACTTTTGCTGTCTTAATTAAATATCTCAACAAAAAGCAACTCGGGAGAAAACCTGTTAAATCACAAATCCATCACAGCAGGAAGCTGAGGCTGGCAGGAGCTTTAACTAGCTAGAGAACAGTCTTTAACAGTCAAGAGCAGAGAGAAACCAATGCATGCATAATCAGTACTCAGTTCACGTCCTCCAGTTTCATACAGTTCAGAACCCAAACCCAGGGAGGTGCTGCCCAAGGTGGCTGGGGCTTTTCAAGTCAATTAATGCCATAAAGACAATCCCACAGACAAGCTCACAGGCCAACCTGATCTAGTGAGACTGTTTCCAAGTGATTCTAAGTGGTCACATTGACAGTTAAACTTAACCATCACACGTATCTAGCAGGCCCCTAGTATAACTTAGTGTTTTCAGTGAATAGACACCTTGGCAATCAGTATTTCCACTTATGCATAGTTTCCCCCTGTATCTGTTTGCTGTTTCACATTGTACTGGAAGAGTATGCAAAAGTTGTTCATCTGTGTGCCCTGTGGAGCCAAATGACTGTAAGGAGAATTTGATAAAAAAAAAAAAAAAAAAAAAAAAAAAAAAAAAAAGCTGCAAGGAGGGGGCTGGAGAGACAGCTCAGCAGTTAAGAGCACTGGCTGCTCTTTCAGAGGACCTGGGTTCAATTCCCAGCACCTACTTGGCAGCTCACAACTTTCTGTAACTCCAGTTCTGAGGGATGTGATGCCCTTACACAGGGTACCAATGCAAATAAACAAATCATTAAAAAAAAAAAAAAAAAAAAAAATTGAAAGGAGCCTCAGGAGATGAATGGGTCCAGGTCTGTTATTCCCCAGACAAGGAAACTGAGGCTTGAGTACATGTTGTTGCTCTTGGACTTCATGGTGTTGAATATTGACAATCCATATGGATTAAAGGAAACAGGGTTTAAGGGCTCTCTTGCAAACAGCCGCATTCCAGGACACACCTGCTGGGTCCCTGCCCCAGCTTAGTGAGCACAGTTATTCATACTGTGGATGACACCATCCATCTGTCTTAGAAGCCAGTGTTCACCCCACAGCTTCTCAGAGGTTGCTAACAAGTGTCCCCCAATTTCACCCACCTCTGTGTGTATCTTCACTCCTTGACCTTTAAGGCTCCCTGGTGCCAGAGTGTCTGCAGTCAGGGGATCAAAGACCCTCAGAGAAGTAAGCCATACTTAAACAAGATGAGGACGACTGTGTGAGTTATTAGGAAAAGCCAGCTAGATGCCCCAAAGCCCTTCCTCATCTGGAAAATGCCTGAACTATATCCCAAGAATAAACATCAAGCCTCAATACCTAAACACAGGATGAGTCATAGGCAGAGCTAATATTAAAAGCTCATACCTCCTGCTTGCTGTTCTTACACTCACACGCCATCTGCCCTCCAAAAGGTTCCGGTGTGCCTGACCCAGAGGATTCAAAATCTTTGAAAAAGATGTAAGAAGGAGACAGCTTATAATGGCAGAAAGGAATGGCAGATAAAGGGGAAGTGAAGAAAAGAAAGAGTCGAGTATTTGAGTCCTAGAACTCCGTCTCAGTTCTGTTTCAGCTTCCTGGCAGGCATGGCAACAAGAGCAGTGCACTGCACTTCCTGGTTTTCATGTCGGAGAACACAGCCTGGAGAAGTACTCTGTGCTTCCTTTATATTTCTCTCTGGGAGAATTGAGTGTGGTGTGAAAACTTGAATACCAAAGCATCTTTATATTTTGAGGACATCTACAGCTTATTCTTTGGTTTATGGTCAAAGTGCTTTTTTGTAACTGTGATGTCCCCCTCCCCCCAAGTGCTGACTGTGTAGTCTACTTAAAGAGGATAAATCCATTTTGGTTTCTATTCTCTGTCTGCTTGCAACTGCCCTTTCTTTACAGTCCCCAGCCAGGCCCCTCTGTTTCAGCTCAACCTCAGAGCATTCTTTGAATATTTCCTAAGCCCTCTCTGGTTACCCAGGCCCTTTTCCCTCCCTAGTCTTACAGAGCTAGTCGCTGGGATATTTTTGCAATCTACCGCACTCAGCGGGGCATATAATCCTCAGCCATGTTATCTCAGGCGCCCCCTTAAGAGTCCCTTGACAAATAAAGTAACCTGAGTCAAATTAAATCCTTGTTGATTGATTGGCCTGAGCGAGGTGCTCTCAGCCTGATCCCCCTCCTGTCCAGGCTGCCTGTTGCAAATAGACATTCTTTCATATCTGTGGCCGAGCTCTGTGTTTTCCTTCTTGTTGTTTCCTTGGTCAGTGATGGCATCCATTTCCCTGTCTGAAGTCATAATCCCATTGAGCTTATCTTTTTCATGAAATTTGCCAAGCAAAGCATGTGAAGGCTTAACGCTTTACACTAGCACATGTATTTTAAGTCCCAGGATCCTGGACATGACAGCTAATTTTGGCTCCATTGTTTCATATGTGGGAAAACAGGGGATCCCCCCTCCAAAAGGGTTTGATTTTTCATTCCTTTTATTGGTATGTAACTTGCTCAAACTTCTGTGTGGTTTATCTTCTATGTCATCCCTGTTTTATGGGCTGGAGTTTGTTGTTATTGTTATTTTTACAATTATTTATTCGTGTGTGTGCACATGTGCACATGTGTGTATATAACACAGCATTTGTGGAGGGCAGAGGACTTCTTGCCACTAGGAGGTGTGTCCCAGGGATGGAACATGGGTCATTAGGCTTACTGGAAAGCTCCCTTCCCCACTGAGCTTCTTGCTGGCTCCTGGGTTAGAAGATTTACTTTTCCAAATCATTGTGACATATAAAGAATATACAATCTGGTGCCCTTATTATTATTAATCAATAATAATTTATAGGCTAAGTGAAATCAGTTATCATTATTTACTTTCTAGTCTCCTCCGATCTGAAAGAAATTAACAACTTAATAAGCCAGGGTCACTTTTAAAACATTAGCCACGTGGGTATTTCAAGGCAGAATTCATAACAGGTTGGCTGCTTTTTATTGTTCAGCATCAGACATATTAGAACGTAATCATTTCCAAGTACCCTCTTGTCACCTGCCAAGCCCTACATACTTTTTTGCTGCTTTAACACTGTGAGTTTTAAAAGTTTGAAAGTAAAGACTCTACTTGTGGAGGTGAATCCCCTGTCCCTAGGATGCCAAATGAGTAGTGGGGTCTTGTTTATAAGAAAGGGTTATAGAATAGAAAAACAAGGTGGTTTTGTAGGTGCTTCTACAAACAGGAGATGGGCGAAGCATTCGGAACAAAGCAGGGGTCATCCTGGAAAAACCCAGGCAGCTTTGATCTCCCTCCTTGCCCAGAGCAAGGTGAAAGGGTAGTCTGCAATGAGTCTGATCTGTGTATTTAAGTTAAACAACACTTTCAGCATGTGTGGACAAGCATGAGGGTTATTCAAATGGTGAGAAATACAAGCCCCAGATTTTGTGATCAAGTACGCCAGTGTAAAATAAATTCCCTTTCCCTATAGAGTTAACCATAGAGGATCAGAATCTCTTTAAGAGAGTGATTCGAGAGCATAAGAATGCCAATTTGGCAGAAAAAGAAACCTCAGTAATTGTGGGCATTTAAATGACGTTCTGTCTCTCTAGATTTGCTAGCCATTTCCTGGCCATACAACAGCTAGAGTTTTCAATAGATCTTTGGGATAGTGGCTCATTTAAAGATGACATCTGCCCCCCAGGAGAATGGGAGAGAAAGAGAGTGGAGGAGAAGACTGGGTCTTGAGCTATCCTGGGGATGGGTACACCTCTCAGCTATGTGTGGCTTTTCCAGAGAGTATGTCTGTCTCTGCATGCCCCCCCCCCCAGTTATTGTAAAAAAAACTCCCTAAAACCCAGATTAGATAGGCCACCTGGTACTATCCCTGGCTCAACTGCTGCAGGGTTGGTCTGGCATGATTGGGACAGTTGTAATGCATCACCCCATCAAGGAGACTAGGAAGTGGCATTGTAAAAGTAAGTTAATGTCAATTGTTTATTTGAAATACATATTAAAAGTGTCAAGAGGGTGTGATCTTCTGTCTTATCTGTGGTCAATGTCTGATGGCTTCTGCTAACTTCCAAGAGGATGTAAGTGGGGAGAACAGAGAAGAATGTCAAAGTTCTAAAGGTGTGCTTATAGCCATCTGCAGTCCCGACATGGGCTGTGATAAAGGGAACAAACACTCAGTTACAGGAAGCAGCCACCCGGCCAGTGAACAGAGGTGCAGGGCAGAAGCCCAATTCTCCAAACACTGCTACCTGGTCAGAGGTGGAACGGCAGGGCACACTGATGCAGCCTCTCTATGTGTTGGCCAGAGCCCTTCAATTCTTGACTTGATTCAGGGCTGGACCAGTTGGATGGACTCCAGGTCAGACTGTGCCACTGGGGAGACCAGTGGCACTACCACGATTGTGCATTTTATACAAGATCACAAGGCCAGGCTGATGCCTAGCCAGGGCTCTTGCTCACCTCTCTGAGCCAACAAGCCTCCTATGACTTGTGATGGTGCATTGAGGACATCTTTTTGTCAGTCCTGAAAAATGATCTGTTTGTGTTTGGGGCCGCCCACTCAGGAGGCTTATTTTGCCCAAGCCTCATAAATCAGGCAAATTCTCAAGCTTAGATTCCTTAGTATACCCCTCCCCCCAGGAGGGTATCCACACACTCACTGGGCTACTTAGGAAAGTCTGGTCAATCATTCCACCATGTGCCCAGGACAAGGTTTACAGCTGCTTCTGCTGGACTGAAACATCCCTTCTTAGGAGGAGGAGGGTGGCTCAGGAAACTCACAGGAAAGTTCTAGGTCTCAGGAGGATGCACAGGTTGATCCCCCCACTCTGGAGTTGATGGAAGCGAGGAGTAGCCAAGAAGGCTCTCCTGTGGGGCTGCCAACAGGTTGTGCAAGGACTTGTACAGTACCGTTTCTTCCATCTGCTATTACCCTCTCTAGCTGAGTGAAGAGGCCTTTGCGCGGGTATCTCCAGTAAGGCCAGTACAACTGAGTCCTCTATCACTGGTCGTGAGACAGTTGTTTGAGTCAGAGAAGTATGGATGTAGTCCTGCATCAGGACTGGCAGTTGGACAGTGAAGCAGGTTTTAATCCTAGTTCTTCCCCTTGGACCAGCTGCAGGACTGATAATAAATAGTAGTGGGCCAGGTTCTAGGTCCCTCCCCCCACTCTCCCCAACTCCCCCTCACTGTGCTCCCTTACATCTAGCCTCTTCCCTCCCCCACCCCTTTTTTCTCCCAGAACCTCTTTTAGCCCTCTCTTCTGAGATCTCAATCCAAGGATATTAACGAAGAAGCAAGAGTTGAGCTAGGCAGGCCCTTCCTCTGCAAATTCTGGGACTCACTGAGACTGCCAGGCCTCTCTAGTCATTCCCCCTCCCCTTTATGGAATTGTCATTGCTTCACTGCATTGCAAGAAAATGATGTCATAGTGTGGGGCCCTGGTCCATTTCCGGGCTTTTAACCTGTGTCTCCTGACGTTTTTCTGCTGTCCTGCTCTTGGAGAAAATGAAACACATTGAAATGTACAGGCCAGCAGACCTCAGAAAGCCCTGACACCTCCAGGATATGGTTAACCTCTGCTGCAGGTACTAATGACCCAGACACCTTATCTGGGTGTCACATCTGGGACATGGCATGGACCCCCTGTCTGTAACATGGAGAGGAAATAGGCTTCAGATTATGTCTGCAATTTCCTGGCATCAGCCTTTTCTTCCCTTCTACTGGGCTTAATTACTAGTGACATTTCAGTAAAATTCGGCCTCCCTGCATGGCTTTTGCTCTGGGTTTGGTATTAAAATCTGGGCGAAAACTTAAATCTTAACACAGCACTTGTGTCTCCATGTCTTAGGACGGGTGAAACCCCAGTCCCGTCCCCGCCCCCATCCCCAAGTGACGTTATGGAATTATTTCCTGGAATGTCAAGGGCTGAAATCGCCCTGTCAAGAATGACTCTGTTCTTTCAGGACTGCAGAGAGCCAGGCTCAGGCTGCATCCTTGCTCTGGTCTAAGTTTTTCTCTGCCAGGAAACTAGTGCTCTCAGATCATTTGCATACAGCCAATGAGAACCATCTACTTACTGTTCCATGGCGGTCTTGGAGATTGTATGACGACATCCTGGAAAAATCTCAGCTGGGGAAAGGGGATTTCTTCCCCCTTTCCCTAAGCCCCATTTTAAATAGTTTCCTTCCCACAGCTCATGTGTCCACATTCAAAGTAAGAAACCCAGCCCATTTTCCTGCCCTGGCCTCTGTCACTAGCTCAGGAATCTCAACAGCCACACAGAACTGGAAATGGGCTGTTTAAAACAAAGGTGCCATATTTGTTCCAGTCTGTAAACTAGACATTTTTGGCACACAGTGGGGGAGAATTAACCCTTGTATTTCTCCCAGGCAAGGGCACAGTGAAGTGCCTGCTCTTTCCTCCGTGACCAGAATGGCAAACACTAAGCTGTTGAGGTGGTTCTTAACATTATAAGTGGTTCTGGTTAACCTAAGGCATATGCTATTGCACTGTTCTACACGATACCACAAAAAAAGGGTCTATTTCTGGACTCTCAGATTGCGCACATTTTCCACGGATTTTCTTCCCTCTCTTCTAGAAAGCAACTACTAGGCTTCCCAGGCCTTAGAGGGGTGTGGTAGGAGCCAGACATCTGGCTTGTTGATAAAACACACAAGGGTCACCTTAAATTATTTCTGCACAGAGTCCAGTACTTATGGGGATGCTCAAATGTTATTAATTTAGACATTATACAATATAAAGTCCCTACGTGTGCAATCACCAGACCCACAGCCAGAAATCTTATCATTCCATTACAAGGCAGACAGCAGTGTGTTGACTGAAGACCTGGGGTCTGGCAGGCATGTCCCGGATTGCCAGATAGCGGTATTTCAGCTCTACGCCCTTGAACAAGTCATGAAGCCTCTCTCAATCGCAGATATTACATCTGTAAGATGAAGGTGTTTATGTCTTATATCTAAAATGTTATGTCTAAAATGTTTACTCTGAACTTGTCTGTTTTCAAATGAGTGGAATCCATCCCAGCTGATATTTGAAGACATCTACTAAATGTGTTGAATGAAGTCCAAACCCTTAAACTTATTCTCTCTCTCTCTCTCTCTCTCTCTCTCTCTCTCTCTCTGTGTGTGTGTGTGTGTGTGTGTGTGTGTGTGTGTAGGCATGCATGTGCCACACAGTGCATGTCTGGAGGTCACAGGACAACTCTGTGGAGTCATTTCTCTCTTTCCCCATTAAATTTGACCTGAGACTAGAAACTGGATCAGCAGGATTGATGACTGAGCAATCTTACCATCCCTGGATTTTTAAAGAATCCCAGGTGGATTGGACTTTCTGCTTTGCACTTTACTCCTGGAACCTCACTGATTTCTCTCAGCAAGATTATGGATTAGCTACTCTGATTATCCCTATTGGACCAGGAGGAAATTGAGAGTCTGTCCTAAAATGAAAAAGAAGGAGGTATCCCCTCCATTCCATTCCAAAGCACTGTCCGTTTTCTGTTACAAAACACCTGTGTGTTCCAGACTGCGCTAGAATTCACACAGGTGTCGGGGGAGGGGAGAGGGCTTCTTGGAGCTGATAGCTGGGATATGACTAGTCCCAGTTGCTACAGGTGGGTTCCCAGGGCTGCAGACAGAACTAAGCAGGGTCAATGACTCAAAGCCCACCACACCAAGCTGTGGAGAGCCACAAACCAAGACTGAATTGTAGAGAACCTAAGAATCACCATTCTGCTCTGTCTGAGAAAGAGGGTCTTCATTGTAGGCAAGCATGGATTGACTTCTTGGGAAAGATTGTCATCAAATGAAACTCCACTTGTTTCCATAAAAATGAAAACAAACCACTCATTGGCTATAAGTTTATATTGTAGATTTTCATGATTATATGGCAACAATAATATTTCAATTTCTTCATCATAATATGTATATTTTAAAATCTTAATGGAAGGACCAAAATATAGTTGTTTCTATTTTGTTTCACAAAAATATAAAGGGGGGAAGTTTGAGGAACACAACTACTTTGCAAATATTTCAAAATAATGACTATATATTAAGGCCAATTTAAGGGGAACACAACTCCAAACTTATTGTCCATTCTTTTGAACCTAGGGAGGGGGGGAAGAGAAGTAGTTATTAGTACAGTTTATCAAAGAAAATACAGTTTTGCTTCTGACATTTAATTTAGCCATTTTTATGTCCCAGAAACCGCTAAAGGATGACTCAAGTCCCAGCATCATGGAAGCACTTAAGGATTTACGAGGCGTCAGCAGAGAGAGTCACACTGGTGGCAGTGGTGAAGGGAATGGCAGAAAGGTATAAAAAAGAAGCATCTACAATAAAAGCTCTGGCAGGAACACACGGGCAGGCCAGTGCTCTTGTAGACGGGGCTGCTTGAGGAAGTGGAGATCTTGGCACTGAATATTTCTTCTGGTCATTCGCCTTTTGTGCTGTCTGGATTGGCTTGGGCTTTTCAAAACCTAACAGGAGATTAAAGGAAACTTTTGGAAGTCTTTAACTGGGACCCAAGAACTTGGACTTGATTAGAAGTGAGGGAAGGAAGCAAATGTTTCTTAAGCACTTCTGTAGCATTAGAAATGATGTCATTCCTCTGTAGTTGAGGATGCGGCTGGCTCCGTTTTCCAAAGGGGGAAATAGGCTCAGGTGATTTGATTATGAGTTGCTGAAAGCTGCCCAGATACCCAGGTGGGAAGGGTTAGAGGACATGATTAAACCCCAAGCTGCCTGGGGGAAAAGTGCCAATGAAGGTCTAGGTAAAAAGCCAGGCTGCAGCGGCCTGTAACCTTTGCATTGTGGGGTGAAGACAAATGGACGCTGGGGCTCACTTGCTTGCCAGCCTAGCTTCTAGCTCAGTGAGAGCTGAGACATCTGGTGTGATCTCTGTTCTATCCTCATGCGTGTGCACACACAAGCGCACATGCACACATGCACACGCAGGCACACACATGCACTCATATGTATGCATTCCCACCCACACACAGTGCCACAGAGGGTTGGCTTCTTTGTGCACCCTTAATAATGCTAAAGTAGTTCCACAGACACCTGCTGTTCCTTGGATGCAAATCCCAACCCACTTTCCTCTTCTATTACTTCCTGGAGATGTTTCTTGATTGCATGGCCATAGTAAATTCCCTGTAACATGCAAACTGATTTTAGACTTAAAATATGACTGCTGTAGGCTTAAGTGAGATTTTAGCTATTGCTGGGAAGACATAAAAATGAAATTTAATATTTCATCCTGCTCTTCTTTTCACCCTGTGCTCCTTCCTGCCTTGCATTTCTGGCCCCTTTATTTGTTGTGCTAGCCATCTGTGAACACACTGCTCTATTTACTTTAAATGATATATGCTATTCATTCTCTGCTCCTCCTGCTTGGAGGTGGACTATCTGTTTATTGTGTCCAGAACAAATCAACTGCTTAAAGAAAAGAAAAGATCAGGACTTTTTCTGCAAGGAGCCAGATGATGCATATTTTCTCAGCCTCTGCAGGTGAGAGCAGCCTCAGACAGAGGTGGCTGTCTTCTAGTAGGACTTTGTCTATGGACATGGAAATCTATATATGATGGAACTTTAAACTGCCATGAAATTTTCCCCCCAAACATTTAAAAATACAAAAAAACCGTGTTGTTAAGCAGTGTGTAAAAAATTACAAAAAGTAGGATCATGTCTTGGATTTTGCAATAATGCTAGGAGATTTCTCAGAAGAAAAGTAGCTGCATTAGGCCCCCTAATACTATACTGAACCTCTTTCTTAATATCCAGTGTCTTAATACTTGGTGAAATATGTCTTTAAAAATTTAAGGGAAAGTTAAAAATCAAATTAATCTATTTACATTCATTTAGTGTACATATGGAGGTGGAGACACACATGTCACTGCGTGTATGTAGAGATCAGAGGAAAACTTTTGGAAGTTGGTTCTCTCCTATCATGTGGGTCTTGGGGATTGAACTCAGGTCAGTAGACTTGACAGCAGCCTTCACCTTATAAGCCTTCTCTTTGGCCCAGAAATTAGATTTCAGAGTCAACTTTCTTTAACATAATCTATACTACTACTACTACTACGATGACTACTAATAGCAGTATTAAATAGAGCTATTCTTGAGTTTAGATTCATAACTCCCCAAAAGGCAATTGGTCATCTTTAGCCCACGGGCTATAATTAACATAGTAGGTGCTCAGAAAATGGAGTATGCTGTGATTGTCCAGTGATAAATTAGTTTCCCCATCATAGGAGTATAATAGCCAGCATAGCGGGCACTCCACACTGCCCTCCAGGTCTGATGTCTGCACGAGCAGGAAGTGACCTCTCACACACGCCATGTTTTCTACAAAGAAGCCATTGCATCATTAAATTGTTTGAATGTCTAGTTCAATTCTATCTAAAGTATTGACAGTATGATTATGGGTTTTGGCAGGGTTATGGTATGGCGAGCCTGTGAACCCAATATTGAGGAGGCAGAAACGAGAAGATCTCATGTTTGAAGCTGCTCTGGGCTACATTCTGAGTGAAAGGCTTTATTCTTGGCTACATAACAAGACTCTGTCTCAATCATACCAACCCAATTATTTTACACCTTAAGTGGAATTGTTTGGGGTGTAGAGATAGCTCAGTTGGTAAAATGCTTGCTTGTAAGCTTGAGAGCCTGAGTTTCATCTCTATAATATACATGAAAACAAAAAGCTGTGTATGGTGGCACTTGATCACCACAGAGCTCAGAAGACAGAGACAGGTAGATACCTACAACTACTAGGCAGCCAGACTGGACTACTTGATAAAGTCTAGGACAGTGAAAGATCCTGTCTCAAAAAAACAGCATAGTGAGTACCTGAGGTTGATTCTGAGGTTGTTCTTTGGGCTCTGTATACATGCACACACACATGCGTGTATATACATGTGAACATGTGCACACATGAAGGAACATCAGAAACACATGCACACAGAAGAATTGTCCTTTGGGCTTTATAGACATGCACACATGTGTGAACATGTACACATATGAACATGTACACACATGAAAGCACATACAGAAATACACACAAAGGGAAAAAATTGTCAATTGTTCTCTATATACATGCACACACAGGTGAACATGCATACACATGGAGGAACATACAGAAACACATGCACACAGAGAAATAATTGTTTTAAGTCTCCTGAGGGGATTTGTTTCATCTCAATGTATTGCTTTGTGCTATAACTGTTTAAACTACTGCCCATTTTAATTATTTCCTTGATGTAATTGATATAACCACGATACTCTTTGGAAAAAGACAGAATAAGAAACATTGATGTCAAAATCCAAGTAAAAAAAATGATGATCATTGACAATATGCCTCAAGATTATTTTTACTAAGCCTTTAGATTACATTTTTCTCCCTAACATGTGCTCACTGACTGCCATTCTAACCTGTTGGGTGAGCTTAGGCCAGAGAGAGCTGACTGATATCCAGAAGGTGACTGGCCTTCCTGAGGATGACACCCAGCATTGTCCTCTGACCTTCATGCACACACACACACATAGAGAAACTTACACATATATACATTAAAATAATTTTTTAAAAACCATAGGTTTATTGACCAACCATCAAGAAATAACTAGAAAGAACCGTTTGTACTGTTGTATTGCCATTTATGAAGACTTTAAGAAGATAGATTTCCAAGAAAGAAATCCTTGTAATAAAATCTTGCCATTTTGTTTGGGCATTTTCTTAAACTACCTCCTCCTTTAAACAAAACCTGGCTAGATGTCCCAGGCTGGCCTCAAACTCAGTTCAGGTTGTCTCAGTCTCTCAAGTGCTGAGGTTGCAGCATATAATGATTCATACAATTTGAAATGTTTTTTTTAATATTTTATTTTATGTGCTTGGGTGTTTGCCTGCAGGTATGTCTATGGACCATGTGTATGAAGTGCCTATAGAGGCCAGACAGGCCATTGGAGCCCCTGACACTGGAGGTACAGACCATTGTGAGCTGCCATGCCAGTGCTGGATATAAAACCTGAGTCCTCTGGAATAGCAGCCGATGGTCTTAACCACTGAGCAATCTCTGCAGCCCCCAACTTGAAGTTTTTAACAGGCAGTCATCCCTTGGCACCTCAGAGGACCTGTTCTAAGGCTGCCCTTAGATACAAAAATCTGTGCTACTCAAGTCCCCAATATAAAATGACAATACTTCCCCCAGATTTTTGATCTGAGATTGATTGAACAAGAGAATTTGGAACCCATGTCAAATGAGGGACAGCTATATTATTTGTAAAATGAATGGTTTGTCAATAATATTTTGAGAACTAAGTCCCAGATGAAAAAAAATCAATAGAGGAGATTTATTGGTTCACTTAACAATCCCCAAAAGTGGGATTTATTTTTAAAATTAGTTTTTAAACTAGATAATATCCTGGGAGTGAGAAATCAGAAATAGATCAGAGTTGAATTGCTGTGGCCTCTTCCATCAAAGTTTGAAGCCTATCAAGAAAGTGGCAAAGGCATGTCACTGGACATCAGCATGGAACCCAGAGTTAGCACAGGGGTGGATGGTCTGCTTAGTCCAAGAATGGCTGGAAGAAAAAAACAACTCATAGGTTCAGTCCTAAATTTGACGACAAATACATCACACCCCTTTCCACTAAAGTTTAGGGAAGAGGGGTGGAAAGATAGTAAGAGACAAAAAGTCAGAGGACTGCTGGGAAACTATCTTCTGGACATGACAGGGTCATTGAATTCATGAACTCACAGCAACTGTGCTTACCTGAGCAAGACCAATACAAGATCTAGCCAGTCAACATTCCAGCATGGATGAGAGGTGTTCCCAAGGCCCCACCCTTACCCAAGGAACTACTGAGTTGATGGCTATTGGGGAAGAGAGTCAGTTATCTTCAAGGGTGTTGCCTAAGGTAGGTCACCCAAGTTCAAGTGGATAGCCCAGCATCCATGCACATACAGGCAGTACTAACTAACTAGACTCATTGACGAGGAGAAGGAAGAGGAGAAAGAAGAGGAGGAAGAGAAATTAAATTGGGAGGGGGTCTGGGAGGAGGTGGAGGGAAAAGTATTAGGGGCCTATGGTATGAATACATTGTATTCATGTATAAAATTACAAAAGAATTTTTAAAAAGACAACCAAAAACTTGTAGAGAGGGTAACAGAGATAGCCCCCGTCTCCAGGACACTCAGAGACTCAGAAAAGAGCTGAATGCACCAGGCTATGTCAGGGCTGAGGTTTGGATGATAGTCTGAGGATGAAGGGGTCCTAGTCAGTACTTTGTTGTGAAGAGACACCATGACTTCGGCAACTCTTATAAAAAAAAGCATTTAATTGGAGCTGGCTTATAGTTTCAGAGGTTTAGTTCATTATCACCATGGCAGGAAGCATGGCAGCAGGCCAGCAGACATGGTACTGGAGAAGGAGCTGAGAGTTTTACATCTGAACCCTCAAGCAGCAGGAAGAGAGAGACTCTGGGATTGGAGTGGGTTTTTGGAAACCTCAATGGCCACCCCCAGTGACACACCTCCTCCAACAAGGCCACATCTCCTAATCCTTTCAAATAATGCCACTCCCTTGTGACCAAGTATTTAAATCTATGAGCCAATGGGGGGCATACACATTCAAATCACCACAGATATAAAGCAAGCAAATGATAAAAGAAGATTTGAACTTGATAGAGATCATTCTAGAATCCAGGTTCTAGAATGGATATAAAGGATATGTCCTGGAGTGAGAGAAGATGGAGTGCAGAACCTGACCTAGCAATCAGTGCTGTGAGGAGACAGTGGGGACACTTCAGATTGCAGTTGTCAGGATTTGGTAGCTGATCTGAGGTGCGAGGAGTCTGGGAGAATGTCAGGTCTCTGGTGGATCCAGTGTCAGGAGTGCTGGGAACTGAGGTGGAGATTAAGGAACGAGAGCCCGAGAGGAGACCCCCCAGGCCCAGCAACGTCTTGAGTTTCAGCTGATGTGCCTGGGAACTCCTAGGGGAGGTGTCCAGGGAACAAACAGTTGTATGGCTCATTAGAATGGGAGACTGCACTCAGTTGTAGAAATGGAGGTGTGAGGCTGAAGAACTTGAAGATTGGTAAGGAAGCCACCATCCTAAGAGGTAATCTAAGTAAAGGAGGAGAGAAGAATTGGAGAAAAGAGGGAACCATGGGCTAAAGTATGGACATCAAAGGGGGGGGGTGCTCTAAACAGAAAATGTTCCATGGGTTCAAAGGCTGAGGAGTAGTCAAAGGACACACATATTAGAAAGGATCAATAGAACCTGGCCACCTTTGAGTCCTTACCCCAGCTCTTTATCATGAGAGAAAGGGAAAGCAGAGAAAATTGTAATGGTTAGAATCACCTAGCAGACAGATCTCTATGAATGTCTGTGAGGGAGTTTCTAGAGATATTTAACTGAGGTGGGAAGACCCACCTTAAGTATCAGCAGCATCGCTTGAAGGGCAAGGGCCCAACACCGAATAAAAAGGAGAGAGCCGAGCAGCAACAGTCATCTCTCTCTGCTTCCTAACTACAGGCACAGTGTGGACAACCACCTCACACTTCCACTGACTTCCTCACCAGACCATCAGACTGGAAGCCCAAACCAGCTCTTCCTCAAGTTGCTTTTGTCAGGCATTTTGTCATAGCAACAGGAAAAGAAACACATACATAAATCATTTCATAATACTGAGTTAAATTAAGACTCTTACAGCCCATGGCATTGAACACTAGATTTATTATGAGTTCAAAGGCAAGGCACCATTTGTATGGACTATGTAAACAACTTAAGTCTGGAGTATTCCAGGACTCT